CTTTGGAAGCTGGACAAGGCAAGAAATGAATCGCCGCTTAGAGCTTCCAAAAGGAACCCAGCTCTGCTGGCAACTTGATTTTATCCCAGTGAGATCCATTTCAGAATTCTGAGCTCCAAAACTGTAAAAGAATTATGTTTATTATTTTATCTGTATGTTGTGTTGGGTGGCTGGATTGTTGGTAACGGGTTACAGCAGCCATAGGAACCTGAAATGCAATTGAGTTGGCTCCTGAGAACCTGCATTTCTAATAGGTTCTCAGGGGATGCTGTTGCTGCCGGTGCAGGAACCACACTTGGAGAACCACTGGCTTATAGTGAAACACACAATCCTCAGTCCTCCTCCAAACTCTGGACTGTAGATTATACACACCCTTTGCCCTCTCAGTGTCTGTATTATGAAAATGGAAATGCTAGCATTGACAACTCACAAAGCGCCTATTTTGGAAATCAATGTTTAACTTGATTTTTTTTTCTTTCTGTTCTGCCCTAAAGCAATGGTGGAGAACCACTGGGCGGTTGGCATGACCAGACATTAAAAATGCATTGTATTAATAACCTCCTATTATCGCACTATATTGTTGTTTATTATTTTCTTTTGGGGATGATTGCCAAGCACTGTCAGTTTATCTACTCTCCCCAAATCTCCATGAGGTTGGAAAATAGAAAAAGAACCTGCACATTCCAGAAAGGAAACGAACAAAGGGAAGTCTGCAATGAGCAAGATGTCTGGACCAGTGCTTCCCTTCTGTCAGGCTTATATTTTTTTTCTAGTTAGTTCCTTTTATGCCCCCTCTGTTCACCTGCTCCTCCTCCCCTTTTGCCTTCCCCAGGTGAACATGGCAACACCTCTCTTAGTACCTGACATTGCTCTTTTCAGCCAGGCTTCTCCTGGCAATGAAGCTGGCTTTCCACCCTGGGATGCTAAGATGAAGGTGACAGGGATGGTTACTATGGGCACCAAACCAGCCAGTCACATGCCCTGGGTCTGCCAAAAGGCCTCTGAGACCTTGCTTGAGATGAGAGACCTTATCCTATTATCTCCAGGGCTCCTGGTAGAGGAAGAGAGAGGAGGTGCACAGAGCGCTGATTACATAAGATACATCCAATACCTTGGATGCAGCTGTTGCTGCAGGACTTCAGTGCACAGTGAGAAAGAGTCAATTTGACTGTGGTCCTTGCCATTTCTCCCTCCTCTTCTCCCTTCCTTCTCTCAATTTTTCCTCTTCATCTCTCTTTCACGTCCTTCTCTCCTGGCAGGCAGTGTAGTCCAACCTGGATTTCAATTCTAGCTCTGTTTTTTGCTAGCTGTGTGGCAATGAGCTAGGAACTTAACCTCTCTGATCCTTAATGCCCTTACCCATTACCTTGGTTCTCTGATGAGAATATCTGAAATGTATCTGGTGCAGCGTAGGGTCTCTACCAGTGCTCTCCATGGTGTTCATTTCTACCTTCCCGTCTTCTCACCACCAAGTTCCAACAGAGTTCACAAGAAATGCAAGGTAGGAAACCACAACTTTAATGGGAAGCTTGGGTTTCCCTTTCATTCCACGACAATAACATCCCCCACTTATTTGCCTATGTGGCCTTATTCTTCCAGTTAGGCATGCTTAGTGCTCTAGGCATGCTCTTTTCAAAGCAGCTTTTTGTTTGACAAATTTTTTTGCTAACATAATCAGCTATGCCAGCCGGGCTACAGGAAACGAAGCAGAGTGACAGGTAAGAGCCTGAACCTGCTGTGTACAAGGCAAAGGGCCTCTTAGCAGAGATGGCACGCTGGACATCCTGGAGCACAGGGCATACATCCGGGCTGGAGAACTTGTGCGCCAAGCTGACAAAGTTCCGTTGCTCAAGGATATAGTCCTGGCCATAGTCCTCCAGCACGTCTGGGGGGAGGTGGTCCAGCATGTCCTTCTCCAGCTTGTCCCACATTTCACTTGAGCCTACGATATCTGGGAGGTGACAGGAAAGCGAAGCTCAGATGGCAGGAAGGACCAAACAGGTACGGCTGCCCCCTAACAGGGAAGCAGGCCCTTGTCAATTGGCTTCTGTTGGGAAGGATGGACATTTCCAAACACATTTTAATATATGTGCTTGATGATGGTATTTATATAAATATATATATATATA